ATCGATCACGCGTCAACTAGAGACTTTATTTTAGATTTACTGGACTTAAAGACTACTGAGGGGCTTTGGAAATGAGCGGTCCGTTTTCAAAATGTCTTTTTTAAGAATCACTCGTGGAGAGAGACGTTTCCTCAGAGGACGGGAGGGTTTGTAACGCTGCATTTATCTCTGATTTCACGACACGCGTTTCTATGGCTCCGGCGGTCAGATCGATTAAGCGTAAGGATGCGATTAACTGGCCGAGGATGTCGACAACTTTCTGGGCTGTGCTGCTGTTGACGGCGCTTCTGATCGTGTACTGCGGTGAGTTTGCGGTGTGTGCGATGCGTCTTCTACGTGTGTAAGAATGTGTAACAGTTCATTGATGTGACCTTAAGGATAATGTATACTGTCTGTCGTGTCACTCACTCACACGTACAAACAAAATCATGGATCCTTCGAGATTAGCTCATGGAAACGGAATTGCCAAAGCATGTCCTATACAAGACCATGTATACGTATATCTTTAACTTGCTACTCAAGGGCAGGGAATGTGTATTTATGATCTAGAAATGTATCTGCTGGATGGTAGTATTCCACTAAAATCAAGAGAAAAAATCTGAAAGTCTGAAATATCTGAAATCCCTTCATCTAATTGCAAAGATAAGATAATGATAATAATAATACTAATAATAATAATAATAATGCACAAGTACAGACATGCAAACACAGAGACATGCAAAGGTAAACTAACACAACCCCTCTCATTAACACACAAACACGATTGGTATCTTGAAACCTCCCAGAGAAATCAGGTCTGTCCATGGTGTTTATTTATACATTTTAAGCTGAAACACAGGGGCAAGGACAGTTGTGTATACACTGCACTATTACAGTCTTATCTATCTATAACACAATTTCTAATCGTATAACTGTTACATAAATATTCATAAATACCTTATATTATATTATAATATATTCATAAGAAAATACCTTTCCTCTGAAACCACATTACTACTATACCTAGTTGCAAAATAGTATGTAGGCCTATCCAGACCAACATGTCCGAGAACAGTCTGATCCAGACCATTTTGACATTAGTATTAAGAAATATGTAATCTGAAACCACTTTTGTACATCTTGTTACACATATATTCTGAGCCCATAAAAAGCTCAGCTGATTCATTATTTGAGCCAAGATGGTACTAAATGGTACTTTTTATTTTTGCTGTCTGACTCTCTTAAAGGGATAGTTCACCCAAAAATGAAAATGTGATGTTTATCTGCTTACCCCAGGGCATCCAAGATGTAGGTGACTTTGTTTCTTCAGTAGAACACAAACGGAGATTTTTAACTCCAGCCGTCTGAACAGTATTTATATAGTTTTTTACCTCTGATTCACGCAATGACCGGACGGATCGCAGACTCAGATCGCAGATTGACACTCCTAATTGATATTGTAGATATGTCAATGGTCCATTTGAGATATAGGTGGCGGTAATGCACTTTTAAGTCTGCGATCCGCCATAAAGCAAGAAGAAGAAGAAGACGCCTCACTCAAAAACTCACACAACCCCTCTCATTAACACACTGTTGAGAACGCTGTTGAGAACGCACTCAGGAGGACGCGCCGCCACTCAGGACAGTTCGGACATTGCGTGAATCAGAGGAAAAAAACGATATAAATACTGTTCAGTTTCTTGCACAGACTGACCGTTTTGTGTCTTTGCACATCAATGTATCGTCACGAGCCGAAGGGTTTAATTTGGTTTTGTTTGTGTATGTTTTTTTTTACTCTCAAAGCTGTGATTCCCATTCACCTCCATTATAAGACTGACAGACTGCAACGGTTTGTGTTAAAAATCTTTGTTTGTGTTCTACTGAAGAAACAAAGTCACCTACATCTTGAATGCCCTGGGGGTAAGCAGATAAACATCAAATTTTCATTTTTGGGTGAACTATCCCTTTAAGACTTTTTTTTTTCTGTAGTCAGTACTTCAGTAGAAGTTCACATGACTGTACTAGAAGACACACACATACACATACAGGTAAAAATGTATGAAATTAACAAAAAGACACTCGCACTTCTGAATCAGTGAATTGTATGTCTAGAAATGTAGCACTGTTTTTCTGTCCCAGACCTGGCTGGGTGGCATTATTTCTGAGAGGATGTTTAACCTTTGCCACTGTACCTGCAGTTCTCATCTGAGTTAATATGAATGTAAATATGTGCATAGATGTTTCTACATTCACTCAATTGATCTCCTGCCATGGCATGATTTATTATCTGCTTGGCTACAATCAATGTTCTGGATGTTTGTTGTGGTTAGCAGCCTATTCAATTTTTATTTGGGTGTCTGTTTCTCTGTCTATCTGAGCAAATCAACTTCTGCAGCTCTGCACCGTCTGTGATATTAATCTTCATCTAGATGGGCTGCCCACCACACGACATCTATGTCTGAGTTGCTGTCAAGACCCCAGACTGGCACCTCACAGCTCGAGCTGGTATTACTCGCAGAGGAGATTGAAAACATAAACGCAGGGACACAAACCAAGTTCTTATAGTTGATTTGTTTATTTATAGCGAGCATTGTGTGATGAATGCACAAACACAACCGAAATTAGGTCTGCATTCCCACTAGTGAGTCATGCAGTTGCTGCCTCTTTATATTAGCATCTCCCAGCAAAATATCGTCAAAGTATCAGTTACAAATGTCATCCTTATACAGGAGATTGTGTTTGTTTCGAAAAGCAGGAAATATATGGTTAGTTGAGGTTAGTGATAGCAGAATGGTACTCACGCTGTACTGCAGCTGTACAAATTAATATCAAGCAATATGATATGATGACAAAAACTGTTTGTAATGACTGTTTAATGAATGATATGGGGAGGGCTTTGTTCTGTCCGCTGGCTCCCTCCTCTGGATGCTACTCGACATACGTTTGGCTCCTCCATGTTAGATCCACAGATGCATTGTTCAAACTTGTGTTCTAGTTGGTGTAGAAACACAGAATAATTGCAATACTTTAGGAGATTCTTACTTAAACCTGTAGATTAACAAGTACTGAATATTAATTCTTATAAAAAGTATTATTTTATTAAGTAATCAATGGTATTTGCTAATGCAAATACCACTATTACTGTCACATACGAATATTGCTCACACAGAGTGTACCTAAGTATTAACAACCGCATAGGAACACACTAAAAACCACCCAGAACCACCCGCTAACATAATGACAGTAAGTTCTGCATGGGCAAGCATAATTTATTTTCTGTAAACATAAAAATGTAATTAGTAATATATTAACTGTTATAGTATTTCTTTCTTATAAATATTGTAACCAATATTCACAATTGTTTTTGTTATTTTGTGTAATAATAATATTCCAAGTATAGTATATAACTATATCATATTTATATACATATATATTTTATATAAATATAAAATAATTCACACATAATGTATTATTCAGAGTAATGATCAGAATATACACCTAAAACACTTTGATGACATCCAGTATATAATTTTTTTTTATATAGTGATTACTATGTCATTAGGATGTAGTGTGTTTTTATGATTGTATATTTCTGCAAATGCTCAGACAGCCTGACCATCATTAAAATCAGATGTTGCAGAAAGCATATGGTGCTTTGTGACTGAGAGTGTGTGTGTGTGTGTGTTAATATTCAATGGCTATGTTCCTGTGAACAAATAAAAAGACGCAAAAAAAATACTAATAGAAAGCGAGATAAAACAGGGAAACAGTAAAACAAAAAGGAAAAGAAGAGCAGAAAAAAAAGAGATGAGCACACCATGGTCTCCTCCATCACGCCTCCCACAGGGTCAATTATGTGCCCTGATGAATAATACCTGCTACAGGCCCTACCCGCATTGCCATAGCCCCGCCCACTGAAAGCATCCCACAATGCATTGCAGTACATTCACACATCCCCCATGAAAACAGCCCATGTAGTCTGACACATTGCTCAAGCATTCGCAAATAGACACATGCACACATGTATACTCTTGGTATGTGGTCAGTGTCAAAACCAGGGCATAAACAGAAGCCATTTTTGGTAATTAAAGACTCCCATTTTACATGTTTTAGTTGTAAGGCAAAAGAAAAAAAAAAAGGAAAGAAAAAGAAATGGTGTATTATATGGTACAATAAGCATTGAGTCGTTATAATATCCTTGGCTATTTTAAAGCTACCCTAAGGCCCTTTCCAGTGCACGAGTAATTTAACCACTGTCCGCATCAAAGGGTAAAGACGTGGGCTTGTGGAACTTGTCAAGTTTTCTGTCTGGCCTAGCGAGCAAATCATGAAAATCGTCCATAGTCGTCACTTTTGTGCAAGGGAAAAAATGATCTTTGCAAAGTTAAAATGCATGTAACACATTGTGAAACTTAAACATGTTGATAAACATTGTAGAAAGAGTGGAACTATATCATACTGGAGCTGTATAATGCTACTGAATGTGAATGAATGGATTTGTTTTTGTATGCACTGTGTGGGATACTATACAAGGGATAAGGGATACTATACAACAGTTTGTTTCAGTATGCTAATGTGACTGGATAACATAATGTTCAACGTGATCTCATGATGATTCGTATGTATTTTACGTAAAATGTGGTTCGTTTCACTATCAGTGTTCGCTTCCAATTCATGGTACTTAACATTACGTTCTCTACAAATGTAATGTAATTATCAAGGTGTAATTATCTTAAAAGTGACAGGAGGCCATTTTTTATTGTCTGTTGTTCAGAAAATGGTCCGGTAACACTTTATTTTGATAGTCCACTTTAGACATTCAACTACCTATAAATAACTTTGCAACTACATGTCAACTAGCAGTCATTAGAGTATTAGTAGACTGTCTGCTTAATATCTACTAACACTTTATTTTGATGGTCGCTCAACAGACGTTCTTCTAACTATAAGTAACTTTGCAAGTACGGCAAATTATTCTACTAAATCTAACCTAAGAGTCTATAATGCTCTAATGAGAGTTAGTTGACATGTAGTTGCAAAGTTACTTATAGTTAGTAGAATGTCTAAAGTGGATCAAAATAAAGTGTAACCAATGGTCTGTAGAAAAACAAAGATTTGATGGCTAGCAGAAAACCATTCAGTTTACCATGTGCTGGTAAATTGAGACTATGTGTTTGTTTAACAACTGCCCTGTTGTTAAAGAGAGATTTTTTTTTTTTTTTTTGCTCTGTGCTATTTCATGGGAAATCTGATGATAGATAGATAGATAGATAGATAGATAGATAAAATACATGCCATGCTAAGTGTTTATTAATGTGAACCTG